TTCTTTTGCTTTTTTATTAGTTTAGTGACTTATCTTAGTAGTTTTTTTAGATCGGAGAATTATCTTAATATTTGTTTTATATTTATCTGTTGAGAAAAGTTATACACCATAATTCTTTTTTTTATAAATTCGGAAAAAATGTTAAAAATTCATAAATTCACCAAAAATGATATGGTAATAGAATTAGAGTCGACATTATTAGATTTTTATTAAATCAAAAAATATACATATCTATACATTAATTCTATCAATATATATATATGATTTATTCTATTCAATTAATATAACAAAATTTTAATTTTAAAAAATTATCAAATATAAAATTTAAATATACTATCACGGGCCTCTTAACTAATTATATGTATATATATATATACAGGTTTGGCATCCCTAATAGAACAATAAGCCTTTTTTAAAAACAGACTATTTATTTTTTCTATAATAATTGTGAAAATTAACGAGTTACTGTTTGAGTTGTTTTTTTTTATTTATAATTAATACTGAAAAATCCTATAAAATAAGTAGTTTAAATGAAACTTATAATATTTTCTAATCCATATCCAAACTCGAAGAAACCCATTCTAGATAATATATATATATATATATAATATTTACAATTAACCCAATCATTACAAAATCCTTCACAAAAGGGGGACGAATTTAAGATATCAACCTATAAAATAAAAAGTTTGGAGTTTAATTGAGGCGGAGTTTTAGAGAGTGGGTCTTATTAACTGATTGATGTTTGGCTTAGTTTTTTTTTTTTTTTTTTTTTTTTGAATTTCCTCCTCATTAGTGATCTATTAGTGCCCAAATAATAGGACATATATAAATTATATATATATATATATATATAATCTATACAATAACCCAATCATTACAAAATCCTTCGCATTTAAAGATGGACGAATTTAAGATCTCAACCATTCAAATTGGGAAGAGTTATTTAGGGTTTTTTTTATAAAAATAAAATAAGTTATTTTAGTTACAAAAAATAAAATATCACTGTCCAACTCGTAATCATTATACCATTCTCACAAAAATTAAAAGTCATTTCAACCAATTTTTAAACCCAGACTAAAATTAATCAAAAAAAATTTAAAAGTCAAAAATCACCCACTTCCAACGACACCTAACCAAAGTACCTTTCATTTTTTAAAATTATTTTTTACAATAAAAAAGAGAGAGTTGCACTGGCAGTTAGGGCTGAGCAAGAACATCCGTAAAATTTCGTAATCCGATCCAGTCCAGTCCAATCCGATAGGTTGGATTGGTTTTTTGAATCCGTGGTTCGGTTCCAGATTGAAGAATTAAAAATCCGTAGTCCACGGATTGGTTCCGGATTGGAACCAATCCGGACCGTATACAAATAGTCTATATTTTTTATTATACATCCTCCCCATAGTATCTTCTCTATTCTATATTAAAAACTAAAACTACAAACTTAAACACTCGCGTATAATATCTCTTTTTTACTTTTTGTTTTTTAGTTTTTAGTTTTAATTTGTAATGATCTAAATATTTTATGATGAAACTAATTTTTATAAATATGTTTTTTAAATTCTTAGAACATTATGTCGCTATCATAAAAAAACATGTTGGCTATTGTAGAACTAATATAGCGCTATGTTTATATTTTTTATAAAATTAAGTATTATATATATATATATATTTTTTTGTTATTTAATTATGTGAATCCGTGGTCCTAAACCGATCCAATCCGTGTTGAAATGGATTGGTTCGGATTGGTTCCAAGATTTAAACGGATCGGATTGATTCCGATTTTTCAGGAACCATAGATAACGAATTGGTCCTAATTTTATCCCAATCCGATCCAATTCGGACCATACTCACCCCTACTGGCAGTGTCTGTTTTTCTTCTCAACTTTGTGCCAAGGTACAAAAGCATGTACAATACACCCCCCACAAGTTGTGGGATTTCTCTCTCTGCTTCGCATCCTTTTTTGACTGATTTCAGTTAACAATTCCTTTTTCTTTCAATTAAGCAAAAGCAAAGTTTGAATGACAATAAAATTAATGAGAACTACTGATCATTATCACATGCATGTGTGATGATTCTCTTTGCCCTTTCCGCCATTGATGACATTTTTTTCCAAATCGTAAATTATAATTTTTTTAATAAATTACAAATATATTTTTAAAATTTATTTAAAATGCAAATTGATCCTGTAATTTTAAAAATTACAAATATCTTATTCTTAATAGAAAAAATAAAATTCATAATTATCAAAATATTAATTAAAATACATTTATCATATCATTAAAAATTATTAATTAACTTCATATGATTTATTAATAAAATGATTGATTTATTATGCAATTAAAAATTTGAAGGGACTTGATATAATTTTTATAACTATAAGTGACAATTTATAATTTAAGGAAATTTTAAAGGGTGTATTTGTAATTTAATTTTTTTTATTTATTATTAAACTGCAAATCTGGCATATGAATCTTGACTTTATATGAAAGTAACTTTCTTCCTATTTTACTATAATTATGGATAAGGTTCACCCACCACCCCTTCATCTTTATTCTGTATTGTTGAAGTGAGTTAAAAATTCATTATAAAAAATTAATCTGAACAATTATACTTTTTTACATGCCTTGTTAGATAAAGTAAAAAAATCATTAAAAAATTAATTATCAAACAACTTAATACCGAAATATATGTAACATTATTTATGTGATACTTAAAAAAATAATTACGAAGTTGAAAATTGACAAGACATATTAACTTATTTTGTTAAATAGTTAGGAGATAGAATGAGTCCAGTACTCTGTATTGGGGTTTCTTATTAGCAAATAGTACAACGTGGACAATATCATTTGATATTATGAAAGTATCTACTAATTTTCCATTGATGGCCTTAGTTCTTTTGGATATTCCCTTTCCAAATGAATAGGATGTGGATTGCACTGTCCAATTAGGGATGACAATTTAAACCCGGCCCGACGGGAACCCGATCCCCCGACCTCGAAATAAGTGATTTTTTCCTGAAAAATATCCCCACGGGGACGGGGATGGTATTAAAAAATCACTCCCCGATCAATTTCGAGCCGGAGACGGGGATAGGCTCCTGAGCCCCGGCCCCGGCCCGGCCCTGCCCCAAAATTTCCCCGAAATTTCCCCGCTAATACCTGTGTTAAAAAATCACTCACTAATTGTATTATAATATATATCTAGTATATCATTATATCTATCTGAGTTCATTATATCTATCTGACTCACTCTCTCAACTCTATCACTCTCTCGTTCTTCTCACTCACCCTCTCGTTCTTCTCTCTCAACTCTCTCTCTCACAGTCGGCGTGTCCCACCACTGCCGTTGATCTCGCCACAGCCGCTCGTTCTTCTCACTCACCCTCTCGTTCTTTCCCTTTCCAAATGGACCAGGATGTGGATTGCACTGTCCAATTCAGCCTAAGGGGTTACTATTGGCCTCATTTTCGTAGTTCGCTTGATTTTATTTTATTTATTTTATGTCTTTTTGTGTAATCATTTAAAAAAAAAAATAGATTAGTAATAATTATTATCACATGATTTCATTATTTGAGTATTCTAAAACATGACAATTTATTTTCAAAATCATATATAGCATCTATTTATTTATTTTTCTTTTAAATAAGATGATAAAATTACATAGTTATAATTATTAAATTAATCTAATTTTTTTTTAAATAATTGATCTACACACATCTAATATACAGTATTAAATGTAATAATTATCCTTAATTTTTTTCCCTCTTTCTTAGTGTTAATTACTTGACATTCTATATAGTTTTCTATATTTTTTTATCAGAAAATAAATATAATATATGAACAATATTAGGAATCATGAAAAAAATATCATGAAATATTTCATGAAGATTTTTCTTCTTTTAATTAGGTGTGTGTAGACGTCCCCGAACGCCCCGGAAGGAACGAGCTCCCGTTCTGTTCATTTGGGGTCACTACAGCTCAGGACTCTCAAATTGTCACGGTTCTAAGTCTGAACCAAAGAGTCCAAATCCGGCAAATCGTTTTGAGAGGGGAAACCCGATCCCCGTTGGGGACGGGGATGGGGAGTGATGAGTTTCCCCCCGCCGGGGATCGGGGACGGGGACGGGGACGGGGATATTTTAACCTTCGGGGATCGGGGACGGGGAGTGGAGTCCCCGGCCCCGCCCCGGCCCGTTGCCACTCCTAGTCCAATTCAGCCTAAAGGGTTACTATTGGCCTCATTTTCGTAGTTCGCTTGGTTTTATTTTATTTATTTTATGTCTTTTTGTGTAATCATTTAAAAAAAAAATAGATTAGTAATAATTATTATCACATGATTTCATCATTTGAGTACTCTAAAACATGACAATTTACTTTCAAAATCATATGTAGCATCTATTTATTTATTTTTTTTAAATAAGATGATAAAATTACATAGTTATAATTATTAAATTAATCTAATTTTTTTAAAAATAATTGATCTACACACATCTAATATACAGTATTAAAAGTAATAATTATCCTTAATTTTTTTCCCTCTTTCTTAGTGTTAATTACTTGACATTCTATATAGTTTTCTATATTTTTTTATCAGAAAATAAATATAATATATGAACAATATTAGGAATCATGAGAAAAATATCATGAAATATTTCATGAAGATTTTTCTTCTTTTAATTAGTTGTGGTATTTTATTGTACATGTAAGCTAAGAGTGAAAAATATTTTATGACATCTTCACTCATGTATATATCTATATAACAATGGAAGGGTTCATTTGACAATGTCTCTCAAATTAATGGTTTAGATCTATCTAATTTGGAAAGCAATGGCTCAGATTTATTTGTAAAAATATCTCTCTCACAAACTATCTTTAATGGTTTAGATTTGTTCAATTTAAAAACAATGGCTGAGATTGAAAAGAGTTTCAATGGTCTAGATTCATCAATGACTAAAATTCAATGGCTCGGATTTGTTTACCTATCAACTCTCACCAACCCACTACACTTACCAGATAACGCACTCTTTGCATCATATGTATCAATCGAAAGCTCTGAAGAAAGCACTCTCCTCCACAAAGCTTTGAAGAAGGAAGAACACAGCTCAATCGAAAGCTCTCTTCTCCACCATCACCAAGTAAGGCACTCTTCTCTCCTCTGTTTTTTTTTTTTTCATCATCCCGTCTTCTCTCCTCTGCTAAACAATGGCTCAAATTTTTTTTACCTTCAGTTTGTCAAAAAAAATTTCTGATGCAAAAAATTTACTTACTCTGTCTCTGCAAAAAAATTTTGAGGGTTGAGATTATATTTATCAAAATTCTGAAGCAAAAAATTCTGATTTGTTTGTTTTGGTTTTTTCCTTCCAAAATGTGTCTCTTCACTTTGTCTCTCTTTCCCAAAGTTCTGAAGCAAAAGCTCTCTTTTGATTTGTTTGTTTTAGATTCAACTCTCCATTTTTCTCACTGGTTTTAGCAATCTCCAGCAAAAACTTTCTCTCTCTTCTTAGCAATCTCCATTTTTCTTCTCTGCTCTTTCACTCTTCTAACCTATGAAATAGGTTTCTATTTCTGTAAATATTGATGGATTTTGATTTCATTGATGGGTTCTTAGAAATGGATTTGATTTCAAAATGGATTTTCATTGATGGATTTTCTATTTCGAACTGTTCATTCGGACTGCTCCAACAATTTTTCTTCTCTGCTCTTTCAATCTCCAGAATTTTATATGAGTTTCTATTTCGGTTCCATTTTCCCATGTTTCGATTATATATGATGGGTTGAAAATTTTGTATGATAGGTTTATATATTTCTATTTCATTGATGGGTTTTATCAACTAACCTATGATTATGATGGGTTTTCTATTTTGATTTTTGGTTATGATTTCTATAAAATTGTATTTTGGTTTTGTATTTTGAAATGGGTTTATATTTCAGTTTCGATTTTAGGTTCATATTGGTGGGTTTCATATTGGTGGGTTTCAGAAAAGTATTGAATAAGATTTCTATGAGTAAATGAGTACTGATCACATGGGTTTCTATTTTGGGATTGAAACATTAACATTAGCATTTTGTTTGCATTATAGGGCTGTTTTCCTTTTCTATGGCTGTTTTCCTTTTCTATCAGATTATATGGTTGTTTTCATATATTACATTATAGGGTTGTTTTCCTTTAACATTAACATTAACATTATAGGGTTGTTTTCCTTTTCTATCAGATTATATGGTTTCCACATATTACATAGTTCCTTCATGAACTATGGTGCAAACACTAACTTGGTTCTCTTCAGCCACTAACTTTGGCTCTCTTCAAAGCAAATATCTGAGACTCATCTGAGAGTATGTGAATTGCCAAATTTATAGATAATCAAATGTTATTGATTGTTTCTTAGGTCCTTGCATGCATTATATGGTTTCCACATATTACATGGTTCCTTCATGAACTATGTTATTGATTGTTTCCACCTATTTTGTATTGTGCTTTTTTCTCAAATGTCTAAAATTGGCAGTTTAACATTGCAATCCACTACAAATGATATAGTGGATGTCCAAGTGGTGTTTTTTTTTTTTAATTTTTTTTAAAGAAAAATTTATAAATTATTGTGATGGTGTCTAATTAGATGATTTTATAAAAATTATGTATTTTGGTTTTTTGTGGTATGAAAGGTGAATTTATCTATACTAAGTGAAGGCTGGACTTGGTATCCAAGCCTTCTATTTAGGCCACATGTCTCTCATTTTTCTATGTAGAAAAAATAAAAATTAGATAAGTGAGGGGTGAGACTTGAACCTCTTTTTATTTTTGAAGGTGAGTATACTATATCACGATGAAGGTGAGTACACTACACAAAGACTCACACTCTTGCATTCTATTTAAATAGTTCAAAATGTTTTAGAAAGAAGAGAACTTCTTTCATATAAATTATAGAAATATTATTAGTATGGTTTAGTGACTTTTAGACTTATTTGAGGTCAAGAACTAGATTAAAATAAATGAATGTTTGTCCAATAAAATTCAAAATTACCAGAATGCTTTGGAGTCCTAGGGATTGCAATGTTAAACAGCCACATGGGCCATAGTATACAAAGGGGTCTAAGGAACCGAAATATTGAAATTCTGTATTGTGTTTTTTTGTTTAATAATCAATGGGTTTCAACACCCACTTCTCTCTCTCTATCAAATGGGGGTTAAGGAAAAATGGATTTCAGATTAAGAATCATTTTTATTTCATCTTAGTTAAATGGGTTGAGACTCTCTACAATTATCAATGGTCATAATTATCAATAGTCATATTTTTACTCACCAAATATGGGTTGAAAAATGACGGTTTGTTAGAATTTTTAAAATTTTATCAAACGTCTCAAAATACAAAATAAAATTATGTATTGTGTTTTTTTCTGTAATAATCAATTGGGTTTCAACACCCACTTCTCTCTCTCGCTATCAAATAGGGGTCAAGGAAAAATGGATTTCATGTTAAGAATCATTTTTATTTCATCTTATGGGTTGAGACTCTCTTTAAAAAAAAATCTTGAAGCAATAATCTCATTGAACCCTACCAATGACAATTATATTCAGACCACACTGAAATTGAAACATTATAGGGTGTCTTTCTATTTTGTAAATATTGAAATGGGTTAAAAATATGATGGATTATAGGGTTGTTTGCACCTTGTTTTATTTTGTTGCATTATCCAAAGCCCATTTTATTTTGCACCATGTTTTTGGTGATAATGATTCCTATAATCTATTAAACGCTGCTGTTGAGAATGAGCTTTAATAGCAAAAACAAAAATGTTAAACATTTTAAAATTTTTATCAAATGTTAAACAAACTAAAATTTTGTATTGTGCTTTTTTTCTCAAATGTCTAAAATTGGCAGTTTAACATTGCAATCCACTATAAATGATATAGTGGATGTCCAAGTGGTGTTTTTTTTTTTTTTTTTTGTTAATTTTTTTTAAAGAAAAATTTATAAATTATTGTGATGGTGTCTAATTAGATGATTTTATAAAAATTATGTATTTTGGTTTTTTGTGGTATGAAAGGTGAATTTATCTATACTAAGTGAAGGCAGGACTTGGTATCCAAGCCTTCTATTTATGCCACATGTCCCTCATTTTTCTATTTAGAAAAAATAAAAATTAGATAAGTGAGGGGTGAGACTTGAACCTCTTTTTATTTTTGAAGGTCAGTATACTATATCACGATGAAGGTGAGTACACTACACAAAGACTCACACTCTTGCGTTCTATTTAAATACTTCAAAATGTTTTAGAAAGAAGAGAACTTCTTTCATATAAATTATAGAAACATTATTAGTATGGTTTAGTGACTTTTGGACTTATTTGAGGTCAAGAACTAGATTAAAATAAATGAATGTTTGTCTAATAAAATTCAAAATTACCAGAATGCTTTGGAGTCCTAGGAATTGCAATGTTAAACAGCCACATGGGCCATAGTATACAAAGGGGTCTAAGGAACCGAAATATTGAAATTCTGTATTGTGTTTTTTTCTTTAACAATCAATGGGTTTCAACACCCACTTCTCTCTCTCTATCAAATGGGGGTTAAGTAAAAATGGATTTCAAATTAAGAATCATTTTTATTTCATCTTAGTTAAATGGGTTGAGACTTCTACAATTATCAATGGTCATAATTATCAATAGTCATACTTTTACTCACCAAATATGGGTTGAAAAAATGACGGTTTGTCAGAATTTTTAAAATTTTATCCAATGTCTCAAATGTCTCAAAATACAAAATAAAATTCTGTATTGTGTTTTTTTTCTTTAATAATCAATTGGGTTTCAACACCCACTTCTCTCTCTCTCTATCAAATGGGGGTTAAGGAAAAATGGATTTCATGTTAAGAATCATTTTTATTTCATCTTATGGGTTGAGGCTCTCTTTAAAAAAAAATCCTGAAGCAAAAATCTCATTGAACCCTACCAATGACAATTATATTCGGACCACATTGAAATTGAAACATTATAGGGTGTCTTTCTATTTTGTAAATATTGAAATGGGTTAAAAATATGATGGGTTATAGGGCTGTTTGCATTGTTTTATTTTGTTGCACTATCCAAAGCCCATTTTATTTTGCACCCTGTTTTTGGTGATAATAATTCCTATAATCTATTAAATGCTGCTGTTGAGGATGAGCTTTAATAGCAAAAACAAAAATGTTGAACATTTTACAATTTTTATCAAATGTCTCAAAATACAAAATGAAATTCTGTATTGTGTTTTTTTTGTTTAATAATCAATTAGGTTTCAACACCCACTTTTCTCTCTCTATCAAATGGGGGTTAAGGAAAAATGGATTTCAAATTAAGAATAATTTTTATTTCATCTTAGTTATATGGGTTGAGACTTTATTTAATTATCAATAGTCATATTTTTACTCACCAAATATGGGTTGACAAAATGACGGTTTGTCAGAATTTTTTATTTTTGTGATTTTTTATTTTGTTCTTTTTCAATTTTTTGTTTGATTTCTGATTGTGTTTTATTCTTACTTGCAGATTTTTTCTTGATGCTCTGGTTAGTACTTCGATCTCTGTTTTTTTAGACTCTCTCTCTCTCTCTCTCTCTCTCTCTTTCTCTCTCTCTCTTAAATTTGGCAGTTGATTGTTGAGAGAAAAAGGAAAATGAAGTTTGAATCTTATGCATTGTTGTTTGGTATGTGAGAAAAAGGAAGGAAAAGGAGACTTTTTATAAGGCAAAATATATTTGTACTTATCCAGTTACATTGTGGTGAGACTTTTTATAAATTTTTATTGTAGCCTTTTACTCTTCTTTTTTTTTTTCACATTTTAAAATGCAAAATTTGTAATTAAATTTCGATATTGAAGTTTTGTTAAAATTTTATTTTGCCTTTTTTTGTGTGGTATATATTAGTTGTTAGTATGAAAAGTGGGCAATACAATCCATAAGAATTTAACTGCTGTCAATGCAAAATTACTATATAGAATCAACCACAAAATCATTTATTGCGATAGTTCTACATTTTGGCCAATAGAGAAAAATTATGAAGATTTCTATGACAATATTTAATTTTTTTTCTATCCTTTTTAATGTATATTAAAGACATTAAAAAATTATAATTTATCTTCTATCCTGTAGTAGTTCAATTTCCTAATCTGTGATATTCATGCAACGATAAACTTCTTAAAATAGGTTGTTAACTAAAATATGTTATGAGGTTGTTAATTCAGTGCCGATTAATTTTTCTTTATGGAAATTATTAAAACTCATTCTGCATTTTGACAATTATATTTCATGTCAGCAATTATTTTTATTTCATCTTAATCAAATGGGTTGAGGTTCTCATTAATCATCAATGGTCATATTCTTATTCGTCAAACATGAAAATAGATTCATGTACATTTTTAGTGTTAAGGAGTGCTCTTACTAATTGTGTTTTTCTTTTTATCCTTCTATCTCAGATTTCTTTAATTTTGCTTCTCAAGCAGATATTCAGGTTAGGAAGTCTCTCCCTTGCCATTCTTTGTTAGTTCCTCGCTTTCTTTTTCGAATTGCAGTGGGTTAATGAATGTTCTGGATTAATGAATGAACTCTCTCAGGTTTCTTTAATACTCTGGAATTTTCATGTCTGGTCTTCGAATTTTCAATAATTAGATTAAACATTAAGCTTTTAATGTTTGGTTTAGAAAGAAGTCTAATATAGTGTGTACTAGGGTATGCCTGTGCCTGAAGGCACGATGAAAATAATGTTTGGTTTAAAAAGAAGTCTAATATAGTGTGTATAGTTATGTATCATGGTATATAACTGTTAAATTTCTAGAGAATACTTATATATTTTTTTTTAAATAGTTGGAATGTATGATGACTTATGTGAATGCTTATGTCTCTTTTTTTGTTTAATAATGATATACAAGTTCATTTTTTATACCCACTTTATAGACCCAGTGATGTGTCAAGAAGATAATTGGTTGATTCTTGACATATCACTGGGCCTGAATAACTATTCTTTATTTATTAAAGTAGGTCTAACTTTTGGGCCTGAATAACTTTTGGTTGATTCTTGATTCATTAAAGTAGGTCTAACTTTTGGGCCTGAATAACTATTATTTATTTATTTATTTATTTATTACAAAGATTTTGTTACAGTTTAATTTTGTAATATGATGGGTTTTTTTTTTCTTTTTTCTTTTTTCCCATCTGGCTTAGGTTGTATTTGGATTTAGGATTTGAAGGGAATTTGTTGATTGAAAGGAAAATGAAACATTAAAAAGTTAACCCTTTTTATTTGATGACCCTGTTTTTTTGCTTTTAGTGAACTGTTTTTAATTTGATTTTTTTAATTGAACTGCTATTTTAAAATGTTTACGCTTCTCTCTCTCTAAAAATTTAGCTTTTTAAATATTAATTTTGGAATTTTTTTTAAAAAAAAAACACTTTTTAAAGTAGGTAATTCTGTGTCAATTAATTGTATTCTGCCTTCTTACAGTTATATTTCGTGTCAACAATCATTTTTATTTCATCTTAATCAAATGGGTTGAGGTTTTCATTAATCATTAATGGTCATTATTGTTATTCGTCAAATATGAAAATACATTCGTGTACATTTTTAGTGTTGAGGAGTGCTCTTACTAATTGTGTTTTTCTTTTTATCCTTCTGTCTCTGATTCCTTTAATTTTGCTTCTCAAGCAAATACTCAAGTTAGGAAGTCTCTCCCTTGCAATTCTTTATTAGTTCCTTGCTTTCTTTTTCGAATTGCAGTGGGTTAATGAATGTTCTGGATTAATGAATGAACTCTCTTAGATTTCTTTAATGCCCTGGAATTTTCATGTTTGGTTTTCGAATTTTCAATAATTAGATTACACATTAAGCTTTTAATGTTTGGTTTAGAAAGAAGTCTAATATAGTGTGTATAGTTATGTATCTTGGTATATAGCTGTTCAATTTCTAGAGAATACTTTTTTTTTTTGGAATGTATGATGAATTATGTGAATACTTATGTCTTTCTTTCTTTTTTTTAATAATGATATACAAGTTCATTTTTTATACCCATTTTATCGACCCAGTGATGTGTTAAGAAGATGATTGGTTGATAATTAAATCCTCTTCTTAACATGTCACTGGACCTATAAAATAAGTCTAACTTATGGGCCTGAATAACTATTCTTTTTTTTTTCCAAATTTTTACAAAGTTTTTGTTACAGTTTAATTTTGTAATATGATAGGTCCTTTTTTTTTTTTTTTCCCCATCTCTCTTAGGCTGTATTTGGATTTAGGATTTGAAGGGAATTTATTGATTGAAAGGAAAAGGAAACATTAAAAAGTTAACCATTTTTATTTGATGACCCATTTTTTTTTTTTGCTTTTAGTGAACTGTTTTTAATTTGGTTTTTTTAATTGAACTGCTATTTTAAAATGTTTAGGCTTCTCTCTCTTTAAAAAGAGTCTTATTGTAGTTTTTTTACTTTTTTTGTTTTCACATTTTAAAATGCAAATTTAGTAATTAAATTTCTGTAATTAAGTTTTGCTAAAATTTTATTCATTAGTATAATTTATATTTTTTTGTAATTTACTTAGTTGTTAGTAGGAAAAATGGGCAATACAATCCATAAGAATTAACCTTTGTCAATGCAAAGTTACTGTATAGAATCAACCACAAAATCATGTATTGCAATAGTTCTACATTTTGGCCAATAGAGAAAAATTATGAAGATTTCTATGAGAGTATTTAATTTTTCTTCTATCCTTTTTAATGTATATTGAAGACATAAAAAAATTATAATTTTTCTTCTATCCTGTAGTAGGTCAATTTCTCCATCTGTGATATTCATGCACAAATGAACTTCTTAAACTAGGTTGTTAACTATAATATGTTAGGAGATTGTTAGTTTTGTAGCGACTAATTTTTTTTTATGGCAATTATTAAACCTCATTTTTCTTTCATATTGTTATCTTTGTCAAATTTACATAACCAGGCACTTTCAGGTTGAAACACCATTGACCTTCAACCGCTGATTATGGACAACATTACTATTTTTGGTCACGTAAGTTGTTTTCTTTTTTATTTATTTGAAAAAAAAAACATTTTTCTTATAAGCAAAAGTCAATTTTCTTTTCTTTTCATAATTTTTTATCTAATTCCTTATAACAAAATGCTCTTTTCCTATAATTTACAGATGGATGGAGACCTACGTCGAACTGTAATACTGGCTCCTTTTACTCATTTTCTTGCATGTATAATTTTTTTTTTTTACCTCTAATACTTTTGTATTTTTAGGTCCAATTTCTTCAAGAAAGAAATGTTAATGTTGTTATCCGTGATAAGCGTGACCTTTAATGTCATCCGTGTTCGAGAGGTAGGCCCAATTTAATTATATAGATTTTTTTTATTCAAAACACCGTATTACACCGTATATTCTTATTTATATATTTTTTAAAAACTTTCTACATATATATATTTTCTTTATTCTTTAAAAATTTTCTTTATTTTTTGTAGGCAAAAGAAAAGGAAATTGCCAAGGCATTGTTGAAGAAAAACGAAAAGACCATCGTTTCGGGCAAAGAAAAGGAAAATGCATGTTCAGTAGTATGGCTCTTCAACATTTCCATTTAAAGTTCTTTTTTTGAAATATTTATTTTGGACCATGAACCTTGATTATTTATTTATTTATTTTTAAATGTAAAATTGACATACTACTTGCACAATGACATATACTGTTTTTATAGTAAACAGTTTCAT